GAAACAGAATACAGCATAATGGGGCAGTAGGGAATAGGAACTCTAAATATTTTGATATGGCCACATTGACATGCTCAATGTAATTTTCTCTGACTAAAAGAACACTAAGCATTTGGATCATTTCCCAGTTAAAACACTTTTTATAGAATTTAAAACAATCATTTTAATCATGACTTTTCCCTTTTTAATGTAGAATTTTTTTCCATTAATCAAGAAAGATGCTTAAAAACTATCATGGAATTTACAAATGGAAAGTGACTTGAAATATTTTTAGACTAGCCCTCTGTTTTCAGTGAAATGTGTATGTACATTAAGTATTAATGCAATATTGAAGATGTGGAAAAGGATATACTTAATAGTTTTACTTGTCATCCAGCCTGTGTCAAAATGAACCATACACTTTTCCAGAACAGCCAAGCAAAATCCTTCATGTAAATTCTAAATTATCTTACACACAGAACCTGACAAATCAATGAATTTTAGCAAATCAAAACAACTGAAGAATAGAATCACGTTGCTTCAAACTTCAAAACAGATATTAATTAAAGAATCTGGGCTGGCGCCGCAGCTCACTAGGCTAATCCTCCGCCTTGCAGCGCTGGCACACCGGGTTCTAGTCCAGGTCGGGGCACCGGATTCTGTCCCGGTTGCCCCTCTTCCAGGCCAGCTCTCTGCTGTGGCCAGGGAGTGCAGTGGAGGATGGCCCAAGTGCTTGGGCCCTGCACCCCATGGGAGACCAGGATAAGTACCTGGCTCCTGCCTTCAGATCAGCGCTGTGCGCCGGCTGCGGTGGCCATTGGAGGGTGAACCAAAGGCAAAGGAAGACCTTTCTCTCTCTCTGTCTCTCTCACTCACTGTCCACTCTGCCTGTAAAAAAAAAAAAAAAAAAAAGAGAGAGAGAGAGAGAGAGAAAGAAAAAAAAAAAAAAAAAAAGAATCCGGAGTTTCCAAAAAGGAACAATTAGCTATCTGCCATCCATTCTTTAAAATCATTTCACTTAGATATTTGATACACAATTCAGATGCTTCAAAACTGAGAAACTTTGATGTTAGTCCTGTAGTTACTAACCTATTTGATTAATGATCCTGTGGCATGTAAAGTATAATGGAGCACAATTTCATGATATTGTAAGAGAGACTTTTATGTCAGTATTTCAAAAAGAACAGTAATCACCACACTGAACATGTATGATGGCTCCTGCGCATTATCTCATTTAATCTCCACATCAAATTTAGGACATAAAAGAATTCCCATTCTGATTACTACTTGTTGAATTCTTTATATAATAGAGGGTTAAGCTTGCAATTATAAAGAAAATTGAAAGTATGTCATTGTAAAATTTAAAAGAAAAATAAGAAAGGAAGAAGAATGGAGGAGAGAGGTGAGGAACGAAAGAGGTTTGGGTGGGAAATATCATTATGTTTTTAAAACTATATATGAGAGGCTGGCGCTTTGGCATAGCCAGTAAAGCTGCCGCCTCCTGTGCTGGCATTCCATATGGGTGCCATTTCGAATCCCGGGTGCTCTACTTCCAATCCAGTTCTCTGCTATGGCCTGGGAAAGCAATAGAGGATGGCCCAAGTCCTTGGGCCCCTGCACCTGTGTGGGAGACACAGAAGAAGCGCCTCTGGCTATGGATCTTCGCAGCTCTGGCCATTGTGGCCAACTTGGGAGTGAACCAGTGGATGTAAGACCTCCCTCTCTCTCTCTCTCTCTCTGCCTCTCCTTATCTCTCTGTATAACTCTTTAAAATAAATAAGTAAATCTTAAAAAAAAAAAAACCCTGTATATATGAAACACATGGAATTTATTCCCTTTATATAAATAAAAAAGGAAAAAACAAACCTCTCCTTTTTCCAGATGAGAAACATGCTAGTGCCAGTATTTGAGCTCGGGATTACATTCAATAATTCCTACTCTTTTTTTATGGAATGGTCTACAAGTATGTTTTCTTAGGAATTACAGGTTAGACAGTCTTATTTACACATCATTATTGGCCATGGTTACCTACATATAGCAAAGCTCATCTTAATTAGGTGTGTAATCTGACATTACATGGTACAGCCTGCAAAGGCAGGCAACAAGATGGAGAATTCCAATACTACTTTTGTTTAAAGTTTGAAAACATTCAGTCTATAATAACAGAGTTCTATAACTTCATTTATGAGCATTACATAACACAACAGATCACTATGTTAAACTTTTCTCTGCTTCTGTATACTGTCCTAGGACCTACTGTCATCAGTAGTAGGGACTCTCCTTATGATCAGGACTCACTAGTATAGAGGGAGAAATGCCCTCCTTTCCTTTAATGAGCCCATTATAAGGGGCAGAGTCATCCATATCCATCAAAGCTCCCTCAGTGACTCCCAGACTCTCTTATCCCTCTACAAGGCAGGTTCTCCCCTTCTCGAGGTTTGAGAATCATATAGATATAGATGATCTATAAATATCATATAAATATATCATATGTATCAATATAACTATATATACACACATACATAACAATGTACATATGACAACATTTATTGAATGATTTCTATAAGTCCGGCACTATCTAATAACACATTAAATCTTCTCAATCGGCGCCACGGCTCACTAGGCTAATCCTCCGCCTTGCGGCGCCGGCACACCAGGTTCTAGTCCTGGTCAGGGCTCCGGATTCTGTCCCAGTTGCCCCTCTTCCAGGCCAGCTCTCTGCTGTGGCCAGGGAGTGCAGTGGAGGATGGCCCAAGTGCTTGGGCCCTGCACCCCATGGGAGACCAGGATAAGTACCTGGCTCCTGCCATCGGATCAGCGCTGTGCGCTGGCTGCAGCGGCCATTGAGGGTGAACCAACGGCAAAGGAAGACCTTTCTCTCTGTCTCTCTCTCTCACTGTCCACTCTGCCTGTCCAAAAAAAAAAAAAAATCTTCTCAATCAACTTATGAACTGTATTAATTTTCTCATTTTATACATGGAGAAAGTGGGATTCCGATACTTTAAGGAACTTATCCAGGATAATAAATCTGAAAATGAAGAGTCCAGCTGTAAATTCAAAAAATCTCATTCCAAAGATAGTACACTTAACCATCACACTACTTTACTCCTAGCGAGTCTAATGGAATAATTATGAGGAAATCATCAAAACAAATGTGAAAAAAACTTTTTAAGGTGAAAGTACAGTGACAATCAGTGGTTTGATGAGGAAAGCTTATTTCATGAATATCGGAGACATCTAAGATAAACCTTGGCTTGCAAAAATATACTTCAGATTTTAGGCTCTCTCATCACCTCGTTCTTTCTCTCTTCCCCTCCCTTATTCTATCCCTTCATCTCTTCATTTTTTTAAACATTTTTACCTGTTCTAAACAGACTAACCAGTCTTCATTGTGCCCAAGTGTCAAAGTGCCACTGTTTTAGAAACCATTTCATTCTTGTACTTACTTTTGTTTTAGGATTTAATTTCTCTGTTTACCTTGTTTTAATCTATCATTTCTCTGGTCATTTTTAAAAGATTTAAAGATAATACCATATGAATGAAAAACACCATGGCTCACGTCAGTGACATGGATGAATCTTGTTAGATACTTAGCAAAAGAAGCCAGAATCATAGAGTACAGCTTTTATGAGTAAGTTTATATAAGGTGAAATAAATACCGTAATTTACAGTGTCAGAATCAGGAGAGCAGCTACTCTTGCAATGGGGTACATGGAGGTTTCTGGGTGTTACTATTCTGCTTGATCTGACTAATGGTTACACAAATGTTTCCTTTTTGGAAATCCACTGAGCTTTACACGCACATGATTTATGTTGTGCTTCAATGCAATTTTATAATTATGGTGAAAATTTAACAGGCAGTATTTCACCCCAAATTCTCACTTTGCTAATTGTAGTTTATCACTATTTTCTTCTTCCAAAAACATGCATTCCATTTGCTCATAAATAAAGCTAACATTATTTCTACATAAGATTGTAAAGGTAACATTTTCCTCTTTAGAAATGTTATGAGATGTTTACGATATATTTTAAAAGTCATGTTTGTTGAGGCATGATTTATATATAGTAAAATTCACCCTTTACATATTTTTATGTACAATGAGATGACGTTATATAATTTTTGACAAACACATACATTTGTGCAACCACCACCACAAGCAAAATGAACAGCTCCCTTTTCCCCATAAATTCCCTCCTGTTCTGCAGTCAGCCTCATCCCCCTCCCTCCAACCCCTGAGAAAACTGATGCATTTTCTGCCCGTGTAGTTTTGCCTTTTCCAGAAAGCCACATGGAATCATACAGGGTGTAGTATTTGCAGTCTGGCTTCTTTTGTTAAGCATACTGCACTTCAGATCCATCCATGTTGGGTGTGTGAACAATCTTTTTTTTTTTTTTTTATTGCTCAGTAGTGTTACAATGTATAGGTATACAAAAAATGAACAGCATTCAAGGTCTTTCCAGTTTGAGGTGATCATGAATAAACTACACACATTTGCGGATGGGTTTTTGTGTGAACATGGGTCATACGATTTGTTTTTTAATTCCAATACTTCTACCTGTATAAAACAGTTTCTATATTGCCTTTGGTCTATGGTAATTCTGGTACCTAGAGATGTACCAATCAATTAAAAATAATGGAAAAATTCAGAACTTGAAATCAAATTAAGTAGTAAACACCATATAAGCATAGATCAACTCCTGCCAATCCCTCCTCTTAAAATAGTTTTTCAATCATCTACAGAATTAAGAGTAATAATATCCTAGTAAATTCTAATAGTACCTTTAAACTGTATAAAATAATTAATAATTTAGATTAATAATTCTTTAATCTGTGTAAAATTAAAAATCAGTGACATTACTAGTTAGAATTCTCGAATCATAATAAGTGAAGGAGAAAAGTACTTTTTGATTCTTTAATAACTCTTAACAATTACAAATTTAATTTATTTGGTTAGTACTTTTTGTTCATGATAATTGGGAAAGGATTTGAGTGACAAAATGGAAACATGGTAGATGTTACCTAGCATGTTGTGGTAAAGTGGAATGGCCCGTCCATGGGTAGTAAATGCAGTCATGACTAGTGGGACCGTTACACCTGCAGGCAATTACAGAACAGAAAACATCATTCTCCATTCACAGTGACATGCACACACATGCACCAGTGCTCACACATGGAGCCTTGGAGGAAGTACATGGGAAGCAAGCACACCAAGTACCTATCCATGAGGCCGATGCAGTCTTCAATACTTGAGCCTATGCACCTGCAGAAGATGCAAATTTTAAACAAATACAAGGAAATAAAAATTAATCACTTTTCAAAGAAGTACAATAAATAACCATCAAATTGCTAGATAATTTTATACTTATTAGGCAATTTTTGAAAAACTATGAATAAAAAACCAGCAAAAATGTTATTGGTTGGTTACACATAGAAATGACTTGCAAAGAAACGTGTCACAGTGAAGGAAATTTTAACCTGCTACTGTGGATAAGTTCCAAATGCACACAGCTAATTTCTAGAGTTTTAATTCCTTTTCCCCATTCATAATTCTATCTTGATGAATAATTTGATACTTTAGTAGTTATAATTATTTTCATATATATATAATTTCTCTTAAAAGACCTTATTATTAAGTAAAGACTAAAATCAATAAAAAAGAAATCTGAGCAATTGAATATAGTATACTAACCTTATATTTAATGCTCATTGAAGATTGATTTTGGCAGAAAATGAGTTAACATGCTTTAGTGCTATTCTCATGGATACTTTACATAATCAGATTATTCTGGTCCTTGGTTGCAACTGTCTCTAATACATACTTATCTTTAAACATGAATTTATTTAAAAAGCAAATTAACTGGTTTTACCATACTGCAGTTTATCTTAATGTTCTCTTTGAAAATAGCAGTGCCATAACAGTCAAACAAAAGAGGGTTTAAACTGCCATAATATTAAACTCAAAAAAGAACAAGTAAATTCTCTGTAAGTGAATGAAAACCTCCAGATCCAGGTAACTAAAGAATCCATTGAGATTTATATAAGTATACAGAATTCTAACATATAGTCCCTAGGATTTCATTTTAAATAATTATAGAAATATTATTTCATCCATCTTCCAGTATCCTTGAATTGTATTTTGCTTTTCTCCCATCAGAGATATCCAACTCCAGGGCATTTTCAAGATTCTTCCTACAACTATGATTTATAGAACTTCCTAGTATGACTGGTTATAAAGATTTTATATGTTTTTAAACTCTCAATTTTCAAAAATGAAAATGAAGTTGAAGTTAATACCACTATATAACAATATAAAAGGTGTTCAGATAAGAACGCTAGACTATCCAATTTATTTTAGACATTTTTACCATTTTTAAATGTTTCTAATTCTAATTTTTAATTAGTTTTTAACAGATTCAATATAGTTTATAGGTAAAATTTTGAGAATATGATGGGATTTCCTTCTTCCTTTCCTTTGTCCCTCCCACCCCTCCATTGCTTCCACCCTTCCAGGTCTCCTCCCTCTTCCTCCCTCCCTCCCTCCCTCCGTCCCTTCCTCCCTCCCTTCCTTCCTTCCTTCCTTCCTTCCTTCCTTCCTTCCTTCCTTCCTTCCTTCCTTCCTTTTATATTTGAGATAACATCTTCTAAATTTACATTACAGTAAAAAGGCTTAATACATCACCAAATAAGAAGTTTAACCTAGTTTGGTGGGAACACAGACAATTGCTTTAAACAATAATTGAGTGAAAAAAAAAAAAAACTCTTAACTAATTTAATTGATCTAAATATATATCTAATTAATAATAATTAAGTCACTTTGTTTCATCAATATCTAATATAACAGTTCCTATTAGCTGGAAAATTAGTTTATTTTTGCTTTAATTTTGAGGATTCTTTTTGAGCAACATAATAAATAGAAAACATCTTTTTAAAAAAAGCAAATAGGAAATACAGGATATAGCACTTGGTATTATGCATAATCCATAATCAAAACCATTTTTAAAAATGGAAAACTAACCCCTAAAAAGCTTCTAAATTGTCTTACATGGTTTTCTTTTGATTCTATTCTGAATAACTTAGCTTTTTCTGAGTTCTTTTTATATCTCTTCTTCAAAATGCATTTTGATTATGTATTACCATTTTGTAAAATTAATAGTCTACATTCTATTTCCAAGTGATAATCTGAAAAGCTATGGTTAGTTAGCAATCATTATAATAACCCTTGAAAGATAAAAATATTTGAAAGTGAAATTCAACTTGAGGGGAAAGTGTGAGTAATGAAAGATTTTCACCCATTCAAGAAATCCTGTGCTACATGACTACAAGTGATCCTACTGTTCTAGGAGCTGCTAAGAGAAAAAAAATGAATTAGACACTTCTATTCTCAATGAGCTCACAATTTAATAAAGGAGCCAGATGCATAAACAGATGTGTATTACATAATGTGAAAAATGGAATAAGAGACATGAACAAGTGGTCTAGGAGGGGTGTGAAGGAGGCACACCTCACTGAAGCCCTGGGGTCACAGAAATCCTCTTGGAGGAGCAGGAAAATCACACGTTAGGGATGTGAGAGTTGGTTTGTAATGGGTAAAAAAACAGCAGAAACAAAAGCATAGATCTGGAGACATACATAATGGATATAACAACTGAAAACAAAACAAATCTGAAGAGTTAGAAAGATATGAAGCAACAGGGGAAGGAAAAAGAAGGAGCTTGAGTGTTAAGGGGAGTTGAGCTTGAGTGTTAAGGGGAGTTGGACTTTGAAGACTACTTATTTAATAACAAACTAAATGAAACACTACTATAGGAGGTTAAGGGAGTAGTGAAATTGGTAGATTTGCATTTTAAATAGATCTCTTTGCCCTGTGGAGGTTAGGCAGCTGGAAGCCAGGTAGGTTTCTGTGGCACAGAGACTCTTGTGATCTGTGATAGAGATGACTGTGCAAAGCTAATGAAATAGTAACTGAGACAGAGGCAGAGTGGACAGATACAAGATATGTGTTGAAAGGTATGGGGATAAAAGAGAAATTAATGGCAATTTAATGGGAGGTGAAAGATTAAAGGGGTTAAGGTTGACATATTTCCAGCTTTGAGAATGGTGGAGTTATCAGTGAGAGAATTCAAGAGGCAGAGCATGTTTCCTTAAATGTGATCAGAAGGCTTGATAACTTCACTTGCGTGTATCCAGGGTTCAATAATATTGCTCAGCAGTTGAAAAGATGAGTCGGCAGCTAAGGGAGTTCCAAGAGAAGGCAGGAGTATAATGATCTGGTTTGAAGTAGCATACAGAAGTCTGAAATAATGTAAGTGCTGATAGATGGCTGAAGAAGACTATATAAAGTGATATAAACAGAGGCTGGTGACTGAAATCCAAGGGAATCCCATAGCATATGACAAAAAGTGACATTCAAAAGCATGAGGATATATAATTAAGGAACACCAATTAACTGCTGTGTCCTGGAAGCCAAATGAGGAAAGCACTTCTAGAAAGAATAGGTGATCCCAGTTGCTCCTCTTCCAGTCCAGCTCTCTGCTGTAGTCCGGGAGTGCAGTGGAGGATGGCCCAAGTGCTTGGGCCCTGTAACCGCATGGGAGACCAGGAGGAAGCACCTGGCTCCTGGCTTCGGATTGGTGCAGTGCGCCGGCTGTAGCAGCCATTTGGGGGGTGAACCAATGGAAGGAAGACCTTTCTCTCTGTCTCTCTCTCTCACTGTCTAACTCTGCCTGTCAAAAAATAAAAAAAAATTAAAATAATAAAAAAAGAAAGAATAGGTGATCATCAGCATGAAATGCATAGAGGCCTAGTGAGGGAAGAACTGCCACAGGATTTCGCTTGTCTGCCTCAGGGTCTCTAGAACTCGGCTGAGAATAAAGTTGAAGTGGAGCAGGAGAGGAGGGCCTGAGGCAGCAGGGTGTAAGGCCAAGAAAGGTTGTTGAGGAGATGGTAACAGGATATTTGAGACTTACACATATTTATAAGGTGAGGATGAGAGAAAAATGAAAGGGAGGGTATGAATGAAATGGCATCATCCTTTCTAAATACAGGCACTGTATATTAAGCAATGCATACTGTATTTCTACTCTGCACTTTGTATGTATAAGCAACAATTAGCATATGCAATTTATATAGATTCAGCAAGACCACAGAATAATAGAATATCTAAACAATCAGAATTGCACAAAAGGTAATAAATCAGGTTATGGAAAATTACAATTATCGAATAAATTAGTGTTCAAAGAGAGAATGTGTACAGAAAAATCAGAAGAAGAACTCATTACATGTCTAACATATTACATAACAATATCTGAAATTTTGAATATTGATTTCTCTTTACTGTTTGTTGTTTAACGTAGTGACTTATAAGTGCCTTGATGAAATTGTATAATCAACATACATTAGATATTTTGACAAAATCTCCAAATTTTGAAATAAAAATGGAGGCATTAAAAAAACTTAACTTGAGATTATAGATTTAACAATTCCATAAGCGGCCCTTCTTTCCATAAATGTAAATTCTGTCACTATAAATACAAAATTTTTTAAAAGATTGATAGGAAAAGACTAACACATTTGGATGAAATTTAATAATATGAAACAATGTGATATTAAGAAAAATTAATGAGTTTTAAAAATACTTCTCATGAAATAAACATTTCAAATCACATCTAATATATCATGGTTTGGTTTGAAACAAAACCTAAATTGGGTGCAGGCAACTAGCTTAGCAGTGAAAACACCTGTTGCGATGTCCTTGTTTCCCTTCGGTGTGCCTGGCTTCACGTCCTGAATCCATAACCACTTCAGTGTGCCTGAGTTTGAGTCCTGGATCCATCACCTAACTCCAGCTTGCTGCTGATGCAGACTCTGAGAGGCAGTGGTGATGGGTTAAGTCCCTGCCTTCCATATGGGAGAAGTGGACTGAGTTCTTGGCTCCCAGCTTTTGCCCTGGCCCTGCCCTGGAGGTTGCAGGAATTTGGCGACTATAACGGTATATGAAAGTGTGGGCTCTTTCTTTCTCTCTCTCTCTCAAAATAAATAAATAAATAAATTTTTAAAAAAGTTGTGTCTTCTCCCTACTGGCCCCAATAGACTCCACCTCATTCCTTTTCTCTAAAAACAAACAGGGGCTGGTGTTGAGGAGTAGTGGTAAAACCACCACCACCTGCAATGCTGGCATCCCATATGGATACCAATTTGTGTCCTGGTTACTCCATTTCCTAATTAGCTCTCTGCTAGTGCACCAGGGAAAGCCGGAGAGAATGACCCAAGTGTTTGAGCCCCTGCCACCCAGGTGGGAGACCCTGATGCAGTTCCTGGCTCCTGAGTTCTGCCTGGTCCAGCACTGGTCCATTGCAGCCATCTAGGGAGTGAACTAGCGGATGAAGATTCTCTCTCTCTCCATCTCTCTCTCTCTCCTTCCCTCCCTTCCTCCCTCTCTCCCTGTAACTTTGATTTTCAAGATTAATAAATATTCAAAAAAATAAATGAGCATGAACCCAAGTGATGATGTTACTGTCAGTTTTTTAAATAATAAATTTAGTTTACAAGTCCTATTTTAAAAATCCTATCTTACTAATTCAAACAGGAACACCATCCCTCAGCTTTAAATTCTTGCCCATTGCCTTAAAGCCCAGCAGAGAAGGGTCTGATCTCTAATAGAGGTGTAAATTGAAGAACATAAATTCACTGGACTGTGAGTTCATGGAGGTCAACAGTGGTGCCTTGCTCAATTCTGAACTTGCCTATCACTGCCTCTGATGCTGAGCAGGCATCCAACACAGCAAAGTTGGAGAAGGAATGAAATGAGAAAAGGCTGCTAAAATAAGAGTCTCTGGTCAACATTAGATGAGACAATATATTTGTCTTTTCTCCTCTGGGGATATTCATAAGAATCTCTTGATAGAGGCTGAGTGAAAAACCAATTTTAAAAGTAACTAAATAATGTATTAGAACCAATATATTTAATGTACATTTTGAGTCATAAAAACACTTTTAAGTTATTACCTAGATAATTTTATTTTCAAAAATCATTAAATGTTATTTAAATAAGAATTTTCCATCTGAAAAATGTAATTTAAAAGACTATTTCCATTAACTTAATTCCTGAATTATCTGACATAATATTGGCATATATAAAAGGAAAGCTATTTTCCAAAGTGGAGCTAGCATGGTGAGTTCATACATACTGAGAGGTCAGTTATTACATGTGTTTAGGAATAAAAATAGTGCCTCATCTCATTATCCCCACTGCATCTGTGGTTTTTCTAGGAAAAGAACACACTAATGGTCTGTTTGAAAAGAAGGGACTCACTGCACCGAGCACATCCGTGCTTCAGTGCAGGATCCCAAAGCACAAAGGCTGTGCAGCAAAACAGTTCATGTGGGGATTAGGGAGCTTATGATTTCCTCGCAGGAGACTCCTCAGTTCTTTCTGGCCTGGGAACACAGCACTTTTATGAAGTGAATGGATAGGGACACTATGGAGGCCACTGGGAAAAGGAAAGTAAAAAACAAAAATCCCTCAGGAATAGATCAGTAGATAATATATTTTTATCTTGGGAGATTTCAAGGAGTACAAAATTCAAATTCTCTCTCACCTGCAGACATGAGTTGATAAAGACATCTTCCTGCTATTTTTTTTTTTTTTTGGCAGTGCCCAAATGACCTGGTGAGATTTGTTCCCTAAAACTCCTTTATCCTCCCTTTTGGCTGAGATCCAAATGTTGCTGCTACAGCACATTGATCTCTTTTCATTGTCCCCTACTTCTCCTTCCCCTGCTATATATGTTTTCTTTTATTATATAATCATGATTTAAAGGGAAGACACCAGCCACACATCCTGAGTATGGCTCTGTGATCTCACTTTCATTTCCCTAATGGCTTCATTGTAATTAGATTTGCAAAAACAGCAAAAGGTCTCATTTTGAATGGCAACAGCTGTTGACATCAACATTATATTGAATAATTTACTGGTTTAATTTTAGCTGCAAAACAATAAAACCCTCTTGTGGATGATTTTAGCTTGCAAAGTTTTCTCTTTCTGTTGCTGACTCTTTCTTCTGCTCCAGCCGCACCAGTTGTTTTTCCATGAAATATTCGTAACTTAAGTGTGCCAAAAACTCACAGGGAGAGTAGTTTATTACTTCCAATTTCCTTGAAGCAAAGTGTTTATGTATTTAAAAATCCTCAACCTTTGCACTTCTGTATAAACCAATGAGATGGCAGTGAGCTCTTCCATGTTGAAATGAATTTGAATGACAAATATCATGTTACTTTCTGAGAATCTGCCACTTCCCAGAGTGGCTTAAGTTGGTTTCTGACCTGCAGAAAACTGTAATAGCAAATAAAAATTGATATTTTGTTGGCAGAAAATGATGCTGCTTTGTTAACAGCTTCAATGTTCCCTAACAACTAGCTTTTTATCTGGCAGAAAATCTCTGGAATCTCATACAGAAGCTAGATAAAGTACCCAAGATTCTAAGAGTGGGTATGTTTCTATGTGGATTTACACATACCTGTGGGCACTCAAAATGGAGAAAGTGCTTTATGGACAGTAGGAAGATAGAGTATAGAAACTTCTCTTTATTCTAAAATTATTCACCTCATGGAGAAAAGAAAAATCCTTACAAAAAAGAGATTTGCTATAGTTTTAAGAAATAGGTGTTGGCATTTGTTCAATGAGTAATGCTATTTTTTTTCAGGTTAGTGCTTTCCTCCTTTCTCTTTTTAAAGATTTATTTCTTTGAAAGGTAAAGTGACAGAGAGATGGAGAAAGACAGATCTCCCATCAGGTGTGTCACTCCCCAAATGGCCACAGCAACTAGAGCTGAACCAGGCATAAGAGAGCAGCCAGGAACTTCATGTGAGTCTTCCAGATGGGTAAGAGGAACCCAGGTACTTGGATTATCATCTGCTGCCTCCCAAGCACATTAGCAGGAAGCTGTATTGGAAGTGTGGAGTAGCCTGGACTCAAATCAGCACTTAGATGTGGGATGCAGGTGTTCCACGCGGCAGCTGAATCCACTGTGCAGCAACACCTGCCTCTTTATTTCTGTAGAATATGCTCATTATTCAGTGGTTACAGGAGGACCCGTGATAAGATTATCTTCATAAAATCTATTTGTTATTTTTTTTCTATTTGTTATTTTTAATCTGCATATCACTAGGTTCTCCTTTATTTCTGCCATTACTACCTTTGTTCATATTTTGCTGAAGGTGTAATCCAATATATTTTATCAAAGAGAGATGTCCTCACTTTAAGCTAACTGTAACAACAAAGAAATAAAAGCAGAACACCTCTGTGAAATACTCAATAAACACAAATATCAAAAGTAAGATTTCAATCATTTATGTTATCATGTAGTTACAGTAACATTTGTAAGAATTGTCATAATGCATCCAAAGTATATCTGACACCAGCTTCATGAACCTGTCAATAAAACACTTATAGGCAAATATCAAGCACAACTATTTCAGAAGATACAGTTTTTATTCTTTAAACCATTCTCTAAAATCAACATATTGTGAGGCTATTCTAAATTTAAGGGATCGGCTAGCAATACATACAAGGTTCAGTCCTTGCCCAGCAAGGATGCTTACTTACCCTTGGGTGCAGTTGGGGTGGCATGGGTGGCACTCCCGATCCTGATCAGCATACTTGAAAATGAAACTGTTTGCCCCCTGTACGCCATCTGGACATTTTTCCACACAGTTTGGGCCATCCTTAAAATGAGAGCACTTTGTACAGTTGTCAGGTCCCTGAAATGTGAAAAAGAAAAAAAAAAATGGGAGAATGATAAGTGGGTGCCATTTGGTCTGGAATGTACTCATATGGTTTAGCTGCTGAGATATCAGTAGATGGCAAATAAATCTTCCTCGAAGGAACTGTAGAACCATTTCAGCAGTACAAATGTGGATGTAGTTGCTGTCATACAAATTGTGCTAAGAAGAATCTTCAAGTTCAGTTTTGGTATCCTATATGTACTAAAATGTGGAAAACGATTTAGCAATATATATTGTTCTTGAAATATGTTCCTTTTTCAAATCAATACTGTCTGGATTAATTGATTTCTATGTCATATCTCTAATGTGATTTTACTCTAATGTGATTTTACAGCAAATTCATTAATTAATTTAAATTATTTCTTGGTTAATTTAATTTTTCAAAAGAAAATTAGTGTTTTCTTTTTGTGTTATTTTGTGACATTATAATATAGCAATATTTAGTAGTAACATATTTCCCCTGGGGTATATTACCATTATTGGGAATATGTGAATGCATTTACTAAATAGTTAATGAGAAGTATATAACAGTAATTGGACAACAATGAATTTTGTATGAGTAGGGTGAAAACTTTCCTTTAGCTGAAAAATGACTTCATTTGAAAAATAAAATTTAAAACATATTGTGATTGAATTTATCAGGTATTAGGCAGTATGACAAATAAAAGTAATACAAGATTATTCTTAATTTGAAATAGGTTTGTGAACATTCTAAATATTATAACTCTTTTTAGGGATGTTAGCAAATCTGAATAATACTGAGAGCCAAATAAATGTACATCCTGATGAGAAAATACCAAAATCTTCACATTAATAGACAGACTAATATTTTGAAACTAAGATTAAACATCTAAGATTTTTACAAAATAAAAACTAGATTGGATCTAGTGCAGTGGATAATAAACAAGCAATAAACCTAACAGTACATCTTCACATCAAAGAAAACTAAGAATATTTTTTCTTCAAATGCTATTTTTCTTTAGAGATGGCCATATTTTTTTTAATTTTTTTTATTTGACAGATAGAGTTAGCCAGTGAGAGAGAGACAGAAAGGTCTTCCTTCTGCTGGTTCGCCCCTGGGCCAGCGCTGCGCCAATTGGAAGCCAGGAGCCAGGTGCTTCCTCCTGGTCTCCCATGCGGGTACAGGTGCCCAAGCACTTGGGCCATCCTCCACTGCACTCCCGGGCCACAGCAGAGAGCTGGACTGGAAGAGGAGCAGCCTGGTCTAGAGCCCGGTGCCCATATGGGATGCCAGCGCTGCAGGCAGAGGATTAGCCAAGTGAGTCATGGCACCATCCCCATAGAGATGGCCATACTTTCAAACATTCATCTGTTCTCAATAATATCTACTTTAAAATTATTTTCCCTTCCTTTTGAATGCCACACTATTCTGGGATTTCTCTTCTCTTTGGCCACTCCTCCCTGAAAATTTTAGCCCAGACCCATTTTCCCCCAGCATCTATATCCACTACAAGGTTCTACAAGTATTATAATTCACACTGAAGACAACTCAGACAAATGTTACATGAGGTTTATAAACAAGGTCAATTTGGAAGCCACCCTATTGCACAAATATGTATGGAACTATTCATTAGGTAACAAGGAAGATTTGCTTGCCACCCACTAAAAGAGATCAGCTCCATTCATTGCAGTGGCTTAGATCCCTAAACAAATCTTAATGGAGTAACAGCCAGAAACTGTAAATTGGTGATACAAGAAACCAGGAAATCAAGAAATGTAATATTTTAAAATTTAAAACTGAAGGTTGCTAATGAATAATAGTGGTTTAAAGAAGAAAACACAATCACGAGGATAATTTTAGAAATCCTGAGACTGGTGAGATTCAATCAAGCACCTGTCTATTTCACTTTTTTAATATAGGCTCAAACAAAAAATATAATAAGCTGTGAAAACTAATCCCCATTCTATTCAAATCATTTTCTAATGGTAACTTCTCATTTCCTTCAAAAAAAAAAAGACCAGAATACTTCACATGCTTCCAATTTTAACACCTGCTCATGGGTACTTAGGCACATAATACCATCTATAATGCAGAATCATTTACTGTGCAAGTATTCTCAGTGGCATGACTTATTGTACAAGAGACAGGCTTTTGCAGAACACAGAATAAAACTTGCTATTAACAAATTAGGCAGTTGTAGGCTGAATTAGGAATTATTTTTCTATTAAATTTTTGTAATATATGATAATGTCAAGGTGAAATCAGAAGATATAAAAATTCAAGAAGCAAAGATTAAGCTCATATTTAATCTTTAGGTATACTTGATTATTTTTTATTCTTCTTTGTTGTTTAAGCATATCAACTATTTGATTGTATTATCACTATTTGAAATGTAATATGCTAAGCTGACATTACTAAAAAATGTCCTGACAAATCTCAAAAGAAATGAAATGTACTGATTCCCATTTAATTTCCATAATAAAGAGACTTTCAGAAATATATGTGTATAATGCTCATTCTTTTATTATTGTATTCCCAAATCTTTTAAGAACTTAGGTGCGGTGAATGAACTATCACAATAATAGAAAATGGATATGAGATATTCTTCTTTATCCCTGAACCTAAGCTACCTTTACACTCAATAATCTGTCCTGGGAACTGAAAGACAGCTGTAATCCTGGTAGACACATTAATTTTTTTCTTGGAACGATTTTTTTTCAGGAAGCTACTGTAAGAGACACAGCTACAATATTCCAGTATCTAATTCTATTCTTCCATCTGTATGGGAAGAATGTAATTCCCCTCACACTAGAAGTAAAGCATGGCTTATTTTGGGCAGGTGACACAGGAGATGGTCAGTGCTAAAGTCTCCAGTCTTCTCTTTTCCTGCTGCCATGATTCAAGAGCTCCCTGTGTATATGGATGGGCCAAATTCAAGGTATCCTAGAATGCTAGGATTTTACAGGGAGGGGAATGCATTTCCCAGGCTTCCAGTACACTTTACATAAAAAAGAGTTAAATGTTTTTCTGAAAGCTACTGTCTTGTGCCAGTTATTTGCTATGACAGCGTAACCTTTCATTTTTCTTTCTTTTTTTTTTTTTTTCAATTTAAGGAATAAGAATTTCATGCATTTCACATATACAAATTCGGGAACATGGTGACTCATCCCTCCCTCCCTACCTTCCACCCACATTCCCACCCTTCTTCTTCTTCCCTTTCCTATTCCCATTCTTATTTTTTACAAAGATCTATTTTCAGTTAGCTTTATACTCATAAGATTAACCCTACACTAAGTAGACAGTTCTCCAAATAGTACAAAGAAAATAGAAAAAAATAAACAGAAACAAACAAAAAAATTATGGGGCTGGCACTGTGGCATAGTGGGTAAAGCCACTGCCTATAGTGCAGACATCTGATATGGGTGCTGGTTTGAGTCCCAGCTGCTCCACTTCTGATGCAGCTCTCTGCTATGGCCTGGGAAAGCAGCAGAAGATAGCCCAAGTCTTTGGGCCCCTGCACCCATGTGGGAGACATGGGAAAAGCTCCTGGCTCCTGGCTTCAGATCGGCCCAGCTCTGGCCATTGTGGCCACTTGGGGAGTGAACCAGCAGATAGAAGACCTCTCTCTCTTTCTATATCTCTCTCTCTCTGCCTCTGCTTCTGCCTCTCTGTAACTCTACCTTTCAAATAAATAAATAAATAGTTTTTAAAAAAATAAAACATTGTTCCTCAACAGTCAAGACAATGGCTATTCAAAATCATTGCATAATATAGTGTCAGTTTCACTCACACAGATTACCTTTTAGTTACTGTATTAGTTACCATAGACAGAAAGAACATGTGACAGTTGTCTTCTTGTGAGTGGCTTATTTCACTAAGTATAATGGTTTCCAATAGTATCCATTTTGTTGCAAATGACAGGATTTTTTTTCCAGGTATTCCATACTGTATATATACCATAATTTCTTTTTCCAGTCTTCAGTGGATGAACATTTGGGTAGATTAAATATCTTAGCTATTGTAAAGTTAGCTGCAATGAACATGGGGGTACAAATCACCCTTTCATATGCTGAATTGATTTTTTTGGGTAAATCCCCAGAAGTGGGATGCCTGGGTCAATACAGTAGGTCTATATTCAGCTTTCTGAGGTGTCTCCATACTGTCTTTCACAGTGGCTGCACCAGTTTACATTCCCACCAACAGTGGATTAGGACACCCTTTTCCCCACATCCTCACCAGTATTAGTTGTTTGTTGACTTCTGTATGAGAGGCATTCTAACAGAGGTGAAGTGAAACCTCATTGTGGTTTTGATTTGGATTTCCTGATGCTAGTGACCCTCAGCATTTTGTCATGTGTCTGTTGGTCATTTTGATTTCCTCTTTTGAAAAATGTCTGTTCAGGACTTTGCCCATTTATTAATTGGATTGTTTGTTTTGTTGTTGCTGAGCTTCTGGAGCTCTTTACAGATTCTGAAAATTAATCTTATCAGTTGCATAGGTTGTAAATATTTTCTCTCATTCTGTCAGTTGCCTCTTCACTTAGCTGAGTGTTTCTTTTCCACATGCGAAGCTTCTCAGCTTGATGTAGTCCAATTTGTCAATTGTGGCTTTGATTGCCTGAGCTTCCAGGGTCTTTTCCATAAATTCTTTCCCTATGCCAATGTCTCATAGGGTTTCCCTTATGTTCTCTAATAATTTGATGGTATCATATTGTACATTTAGGTCTCTGATCCATTTTGAGTGGATTTTTGTGTAAGGAGTGAGGTAGGGGTCTTGTTTCATACCTCTGCATGTGGAGATCCAGTTTTGCCAGCACATTGGTTGAAGAGACTCTCTTTGATGCAGGCATTGGTTTTTGCTCCTTTGTCCAAGATAAGTTGGTTGTAGATGCAAAGATTGATTTCTGGAGTTTCTATTCTGTTCCATTGGTCTACATGTCCATATTTGTGCCAGTATCTAGCTGTTTAGATTATAACTTCCCTGTAGTATGTCTTGAGATATGGTATTGTAATGC